TTGCTTGGAAGGATGGTGGCTAGACCTCGATGCTAGATGCCTCGAGGTCTACATTTCTTTTTTTTTTTTCAATCAGTCAATAAGAGTTTGGCGTTCGGACATCATTGCAACCCCTGTACAAGAAGCAGACAGCATTTGCGCTCCGCAGAGTCAGCGCTTCCTGCTTTGAACGTTGCCTTACGGTACTCCGTTTCACATCAAGTCCGACGGCAGTTAAACCAATCACAATCCTGCGCTTTTCTTCTTTTTACGCGTGGTTAGTTTAGCAGGTGGTAGAAAACGAAAAAAAAAAAAAAAGACGAGCGTCGTGACGATGCACATTTGGCGCTGCCTGATGTCGATGGCGGTCGGACTTAAAGTGAAAACGAATCTAGTGCGAGCGCTGGTTCTGTGAAAGCCTATATTAAAGCCGCGACGTCGCGCCTGTAGCCTTCGCTGCCCCGTAAGTATTCGCGACTCCAGCAAAACGGACGGTACCAAGCGGGGAAAACCGGGAACCAGCCGGAATAGGTCGCATTGCGCCTCTCCGCGTCTCTGGCGGCTTTCGCGGACACGTGTTGTCGGCGCGGTGGCGAACAATGTAATTTGATGAAGGTCCGAATATTTCTTGAGTTTGCTTGAGTGTTCATTAGTGTGGTGAAGCCTCAGTAGATTGTTTCCTTCCATCATGTGTTTGAGAGCCCGTTTACCCCACAACACACGGTCACGTGCTTTCCATTTCTTGGATGGGGAGGAATCAGAGAAAAACGTTTTGATTTCTTGTCTGTCTCGAATCACATTCAAAGTGACGATTACTTGGTAACTGGTAAGTGGTTTCTTAATAAGGATGTAGAACAGTGGACTGAACGACAGACAAGGCGTTTCACTGGAGGGAACACCAATGTTGCAGTCAAGTAAATGGGAAGGTTCGATAGCTACTTTTCTTGAGTTTGTCTTTGTTCGATTAGCTTCAAGATTGAGCCACCCACGCCGGTTGGTGCGTTGGCTATTCACCTTGGTTGCTTTTCGCCGAAAAAAGTCTGTGGACCACACCGAAGGAGTTGGGCTGATTTCGCAATTACCTGATTCCGGAAAACCTGCTCGCTGCATACGATTAATGAGGGAAATTGTCTGCCTTCAAAAGGTGGGGGACGCGTTTCGCAAAGTTAGAAGCTGTCATGACATTATAATCTATCGCGCCTCCAATATTTAAATTGTACCCCCATCGAAGCCAGCAGCAACTTATACGTCTACATTGCTTAGGTTGTCCGGCCACAAAAAAATACTAAATTTTTCTGTCCAGGATTCGAAGTCAAGTTCAACACAGAGGGGTTCTGCGTGAATCTCCGATGAAGACTCTCTTCAGTTTGTCCGCATTCGTCTCCGTGCTGCCGGCTAGAACCATTTGGCTGAGTTTAACTAGTATCTCTTCGTCTGTTAATCATGCTTTTATTCAACAGTTCACCTAATAGCTAGTTAACTAAGCTCATATTTCAACCCGAAGAATATATTAACATCGCTTTAGTGGGACTCCCCCATAGTACGTAATACAATACATAACCCACATATTTAAAAAAATTACTTCCCGGTTGATATTAAAACCTGAATTGAAATACGAGTATCAGCTGCTTAGTGGGGCGCCAGGGGGTTAACATGCTCCTCGGCTCAAGAAGCTCTTGTTTAATTTTCGTAATTTTCCTGCAGCCTGTGTTGTTGACCGAGCCGACGACTGGAGCTGTTTCTTAAACGCGGATATGTACAAAAGCTCGATTTCGCGGACGGATAAGTCGCATGGTCGAGGCATGCGAGTTAGCTGAAAGAAAATTACTCTCGGTGGAACAATTCTGTAGTCATCGCCGCTTCTCTTAGCTGATGAAAACTGATTACAATCTATTACTGTCTCTCCGGAGCCCATAGTTTCGGTTTTGAACGAAATCTCCGAAACAAAAGTTTGACATGAAACGAACAAAAAGCACCGAGAAAACAAAACTATGCTCTGCAAGTTTATGTGCACCGGCTACATTTAACCGTCGCAGTTCAAATACCTATAAAATAGACCATTAAACAAAAGAAAACCTGTTAAATTGAACGCGCCACCCGTTCAGGCGGCCCGGCCGAACCGACGCGACCTGTTCCCAGCTGCCATGTTTGTTTGGTGGTGGCGCCCCCTATAGGTCGCTGGAGTCGCGAATAGGCTGCAGACTTTCACGTTTTAAGCTAAAAAGACACCTTGAAACTTCCGTGGGGTTCAAAAAATATAAAGTAAATTAATCACGTGACGCGAGGTCAGGACGCGCGACTTTGTGCCACGTGACGTGAAGTTCCGTGACACCACCACCAAACGCCGTGGCGTCACGTGACAATGTCGCGTGACGTGAGGTTACAAGACGTCATTACCTTAGACGTCCAATTTAAACGGTCACAGGTTCCACGGCGGTCCTGTTGAATGGGTACAAAGCGGGATTTATTTTATGAAAAGGAATGTAAATATTAATAATAATCATAAAGATATCCGAAGTAGTTTTGCTATCACATTTTCTGCATTCTTGGCGGCTGTACCTTAGTATAGCTTTCTGCAAAGCTATACTAAGGTATTTAATTAGATGAAACACGAGTAAATATTCTCACAGGTTCCTTATTTTCCCTTTCTAATATTAAAGATAAAAGGGTAATTATTTTACATCGCACACTCGGTGCTATCTTAAAAAGTGGACACTAGCTTCTTCGATATTTTTTTGTTAATGTATGTTTTACAAAAGGAGTCATCTTTACCACAATGCTTTTCATTTTCTCAAAAAAAGTATAAACCAAAAAAAAAAAAAAAAAATAGGTAAAGCGCTCGTCCACTTGATCATTAAAGCTTTGAGTATGCGATGTCAAATTATCACTGCCTTACCCTTATTTTTGGAAGAAAATAATTGAAAAAGCAACATTTAATATATTTAGTCATCTAATTAAATAATTGACCCATGATTATAACGGCTTGCCCTAGAGTCCTCAAGAACACGGGAATATGTTACTGAAGCTACTTTTGAGTATGTATTTTTACATTTCTTTTTAGTAAATCAAAGGCCGTTGATATGCATTCAAGATGAGAGAAAGGTCGCCGGCCATATTTTCTATATTCATTATACCCGTAAGCGTACTGAGCCCCTACTGGGCGTTTCTTACGTGATGGCTTGTGGGTAGCAAGCGCTCTGACCTTATGGTACAGGAGCAGGAGCTTCAGGAACTGGTTGCTCTGCTCCTGGTTGGTACACCACTAGCTGAACTCCAGATTCGGCAGCTCCTGAATATGAACGTTGCAGGTGATACCTGTCCTCTCCACGTTATCGCCAAATTTTTACAGCGGAGCTGTTAAGGGCTGGTTTCCCCAGCATCGTGTCCCCCGCCAAGAAATGAAGACACCAAACTCTGGACACCTACTGCCATCTATGAGCGACGGCGGCAAGTCACGTATCTGGTTGCCGCCGTCGCTCATAGATGGCGGCAGCCTTTCCAATCTGGCTTGCCGACGTGTGGCCGGCCATTAATTTCCATAGTACAGCTCCGCTGGTCTTCCTTCTTCACCAGAGTGGAAAGGCTGAAAGTTTTTCAACGCCTGATATATATATATATATATTTTTTTTTTTTTCAGATTTTGTTTTATACTATTCGGTTCTCTGGCCTGAACAGGACAGTGGAGGATTAGATTTATTCAAATAGCTAAAAAAATCTTTTTACGGTAGAATATTTTAGTGTTTATAGACAAAGTGGTGGAAATTACGATTCGTTATTGAGCGCGAGCACATGAGGTTAAATTTTATTCGCGGATTACTGAACCACTTGAAATCAAATCGAATTTTCATTGAGAATATACTCGTCATTTTTGAGAAGTGCTTTATCTATGGGTGAATGAATTGGCGAGTTTTTTTGTTTGTTTTTTTTCGATATTAATGTTTAACTTTTACGTAGTACTGCACTGACAGTTATGTTTTTCTATCAGACTGCTTGCACGAAGATGTCCAAATTCACATGACGGGCACAAATTGACTTCTCCGGAGTTTGTCGAGCGCCTATAGGGAGTATTCACTGGACGCCATATGTGTGGGTGCTGTTTAGAGCGCATGCTCAGAACGAGCTCACATCAATAGGCTGCTAAAACCGGCACTCTTGATGGTGCGGAATGCACGTTGCAAAAGAACTGTAGAAGCTCGCCATCAGCACGCGCTCAGCATTCGCGCACACAGCTATGGCCGCCAGTGAATACTCCCTATTCTGTGTGATATTTTGAAGCCGTGATTAGCAGAAATAACTACAGAGGTGATGGACACGAGGCTCGGAATATTTTGAAGGCGATATATTATGCGCCATTGCTTCTTCCCCCAAAAAAAGCTAAAAACAAATACGCGCCTTCTTTTATTAGCCTTTGTGTAGTTCCCTTGAAGCGTCAGCTGACCACAAATAAACGTAAGCAGAACTAATAAAAAAATTAAGATCGCCACGCCTGTAGCCTTACCTAACCCGTAAGTAGGCTGGAGACCCTTCCGGTTTTAACTTTAAAAAAAAATAACATAACCCCCTCCCCCCTTCTAAGGAAAAAAAAAAGTTTGTTTTATGACACACGAAAAGCGGTACGACGCCTTAAGCAAAATACAGCATGAAGCTTCAGAACAGAAAATAATATACATTTCGTACACTAGCTTAGGACGGCGTTTTAGCGTTCGAAAGCGTTCGGTGAGTAAGTAGAGACAAAGGCAGCTATAGCTTTGCCTTTGCGTCTACTTACTAATCATTCCAATCAGACCTCAGCGGTCTGGCGACCCCGCACGCTCTTGACACCTCCTCTCCCACAGTTTCGCTCGCGTGCGGCTAAAAACAGGGAGCCCCGCCAGATCCCGAATAAACGCCCACCCCCTGTGAAGAGATGAAACCGAGAAATATAGGGTGGGCGATCCTTCGGGTGTGGAATTTTAACGTATACATTGTTTTACATAGCCATTTGGAGCATGAGGTGAGTCTATGAAGTTGAGCATACGTACTCAGCTTGGGCTCATCGTCGGGAAAGTTGTCTCCGATGCCGACCTTGTAGATCCAGGCGCCGATGATGGCTCCGATGTGCGGTCCAAAGATGGGCACCCAAATGTAGTTCCAGTTCCGGTATCTGCACGCAGGGACAGTTCACTCGTACAAGCTCATTTCACCTGGCTGCTGTTGCTATACGCTCACTGAGTGGGGGAAAACAATTACTCGAGTGTCGTTAGGATGGCCCGGAGCAATGCTGCCTCGAAGACAAAGACCTGCGCATGACGTCAAAGTTGATGGATTCCCGACGCGGCCCCAAGCGGCAGGCACGTCGAAGCTGGAAGAGCGACGCCGCCAAGCGCGCAGACGCATCCGCCTTGGCGTTGCCGAATATGCTAGCGTCGCGCTCGCGTTGTAAGACGCTGTAAGACGCGATGCCGGCGACGCTGACGCGAGCTAGGTGGTATTGCCTGGAGTAACTACAGGGTGTCACAAAAGAAAATTTACACGGTCTTTTTTACCTCAGAAATAAACTAGGCATCGCCGAACGCTCATTCTCCGCCCAAAGGTAGAGCTAGAGGTCACAACCAGATGCCAAAGTTTCAGCCCGATCCGGTGACTTAATCGAAAGTTATAAGTTATTTTCTGAAAATTTCAATGGGAAAACGGAGCCCATTTTTGCCCGTTTTCGGTTTCTGGTGCCATAGAGCCCCATGTGTTTGAAAACTCCGTCGGCCGCCATTTTCCCATTGAAATTTTCAGAAAATCACTTATAACTTTTGATTAAGTCATCGGATCGGGCTGAAACTTTGGCATCTGGTTGTGACCTCTAGAGCTACCTTTGGGCGGAGAATGAGCGTTCGGCGATGCCTATAGTTTATTTTTGCGGTAAAAAAGACCGTGTAAGTTTTCTTTTGGGACACCCTGTAGAGTGACATAATAAAAACTGCAGAGAGGATCTTCAGTTGTGCTGCCTCGAGCGCGAGCTTGCTACCTTCGATGGTGCTTCGGCGTCTCGTAAGCCTCGATAGCGCACGCGCCTTCGGAGCACGTAGGAAGGCAGCGAAAGCTTGCTGGAGGTCGGACGTTCAAAAGAGGCGGCCTGCAGTTGTGACCTTGTTGGCGATTAGAAATAAGCTACACTTCAGAATGGCGACACTTCAGGCATGGATGGATAGATGGATGCTAACCTAACGGCTGTACCCTTTATAAAAGGCGGTAGCTTGCGCCACCTAGCCATCTTTTTTACGTTTTGTAGATGTTTGGGGAGTGGCGTCTCCACGGACCCCGCGAGCCATGACTGTATAACACGAGAGCGCACGACACTAGAGCGCCGACGGGAGAGCGCGTAACATGAGAGCGCCACGGCAGCAGAGGGCGCGACATGAGAGCGCATGTTATTAGAGCGTACGTCACGAGAGCGCATCTGCGCGTTTTGGGAAGGATCGATATTGGAGTCTTCAAACACTTGTTTTTACGGAGCTGAAATTTTGACACCGAAGGGAGTCGCATTTCGAACACTTGGTGTCGTTTAACTGGCTGAGTATGCAGACCTGTGCGGAAGTCATTACCACATAGTCGTCATTGCAGCCACTCATAGGGTGCTCATATTGAAATGTGTCACTGCTTTCTCTCTCGAGGCAATACACCTATTGCTATATCACCCAAGCATCAAGGAAAATGCAGGGATTGGTGTTCCACGCGCTGCACGTTCTGGCCTCAGCAGTAAAGACTTTTTTAAAGCAAATACCTAAAACAAATGGCATCTTGCACGGGCGTTCGTCAATGCTTTACTTTGGTTACTTCGAATCTTTTATACGGGGAAGGCGTGCGCTTGTGGCGCGTGGAACACCAATCCCTGCATTCTCCTTGATACTTGGGTAATATAGCAAGTGGTCTATTCTACTTGTCATTTTTATCCTCCAGAAACAGGAATTTGATTAACATACCAAAATGGCTGAAAAAAAAAAATGTCGGTTTGGCGATGAGTTTTTTTTCTGGGATTGAACATTTTAGTTTTTTTACTGACAGCAAGGCTGCAGGAGTCTATTGTGCGCTCAGGTATTACATCAATATCATGTTTAATTCTTGCAAACATCGGGAAAACGTCGAATTTGGAGCACGCCAGAAATCAATCCGTTCGGTCCTACGTTTAATGACGAAATATGAAGCTGCACTCACATACTGTGCAGTGCTGGCTGTCGCGTAACAGTTAATTAACTGCGTAAGTACCTAGTTACTAGAAAAGAAGATTCGATAATTGTACGTTCTGCCACGAGGAAAAGCACCTTACGGTGAATTCCACTCGTAGATCCGGAGCGCTTTCCAAAATCCGCGAGGGAGGCAAAATTCCGCTCCGTGGGACCAGCTCCGAATCGACGAGGGGAAGATGAACTTGCATTTTTGGAGCGACCTCCCCCACACCCCTCCCCACCGCTTCCCCCTCCGCCGTTCAAAATGGCCGCTGCTCGAACTTGACAAGCCCCCCAACGCCTCAGCCGACTGATTTTTCCGACGACCAGTGACTACTGTCACTGCTTAGCTGCAGAAATAACACGCGACACAGGCCGGGCGAAATTATACGTACCACGGCGCCCATGTCACAAATTACGAATATGTCCGCGTTCGGCACCGTCACCTTTCGGCCGCCTCGAAGCGGCGGCGCATGGACAGCGATTGCCAGCGGTGGAGTTCGGTGCGACTTTAATAAACACAGAGGTAACAAACCATCACTTGCGCGGTCGTTGCCTAATCATTTTTTGCTTTATTTCACGAAAAAACGCCGGCGGAATGCAGTGTAAAAAGGTAAAAAATCATTGGCTGCAGAATGAACAGGCCTAACCTTGCGTCTGCCTCCGGCTTTTCTGTCGTTCTTCCTCCCACGATCACAGATGTCAGCGCTTACGATTTACCACGCTCCACAGTCCCGGCTTTGTATCCCTGATCTACGCGAGGTAGAAGCGTTCGAGCCGTCACAATCCCGCGTAAACAACCGACGCACCCGCACAGATTCAACTCGACAGCGCGACCGGCCCGCCGACCTCTCCAACCTCGCCGCGCATGCGCACTGCCGATTTAGGCGGAAATCACGTGGGCCGCTCTGTCAACTTCCGAAGAGATCTGTGAAATCCCGCAGAGCAAGTTCGGCGGGGTTTGATGCGCTCCGTGGAGCGGGCGCTGCCAGAGATCTACGAGCGGAAGATGACCAGCTCGAGCCAGATCTGCGAGCGGAATATGCGCGCTCCAAATGGAGCGCTTTTGGAGCGCTCGAGATCTGCGAGCGGAATTCACCATTAGTGACTGCAGCTGTCTAGCGCTCTCGTGACACGTGCTCTATATTGACAAGCGCTCTCGTGTCGCAGCGCTCTCCTGTCGCGCGCTCTCGTGGAGCCCTCGCGCGGGCCATGTGCGTTCACCCGCCCACGCCTGGCTGTAAAAAGGCATCCTGGTGGTTGAGCTAAGCCCGGGGTAGAGGTTCACATGCCGCCCCAATACACCTTTTTTAAGAGGGCGCAGCCATCTTGAATGTCGTCACTTCTGGTATGCAGTAAAACATCGTTTTGATCTCTCCACGCCGCTGGACGGTGTTTACGAAAAATACGTGATTGTCATATACATTCTTCTTTTGCTTCACCTATATGTTCTCACATGTTGCAGGTTGAAATGTGTTATAATTTTTTTTCGTCCCGCATACCAGATACGGAACCCACGTGATTGAGAACGAAAGGAGACTGAAAATGTCTATAAAGTACACAAACGCTATCCATTTCGCTTACGTTTCAAGTCTGCTCGCACCCTTAAAATCGGAGTTGAATATTCGGTGCGAGGACGGACCCACGTCAGCCATTTGCCTGGAACGCTGTGCACCTTTAGTTTCTTGTCCCCCCGGTCACGTGACGTAAGCATCTCTTGCGACTATTTTAGCCGCCTGAAGATATACCCGGATTCTCTAGCAAACCGGCCCAAGCGGTCGCGATTAATCCCGAATCTTCCGTTGTACAATAATAATAATGAGTTATTCTAATTTCGAGTAAACGACATGGATAAATCAAGCAAAGTACACTATCACCTCTAAAAAAATAAAAACAAAACATATATAAAAAGGACAACTCAAGCAACAAGAATCTGCAGCGCGAATAATTTGAACAGTATACATCATTAGATTCACAATGAGAAGGTACGCGGAATGTTTCTCAACTTTCGAAGATTCATGGCCTCCACGTGAATATCATGACAATGCAACAACTTTAGAGCCGGTCTTGGGACTCTGTAGGTCGACATTTCTTTAGCGGTGTTCAGTCGAAACTTTGGTACTTGCCACTAGTCGGGGTTCCTATAATTTCGTGGGCTACGAGATGTCGCTGCAGCTTAGCCTGTCCTATCAGGGAAGAGACTCAGTACGTCGGCACCCGTCAGAACCCCTACTGAGGGGTTCTGACGGGTGCCGATCTACTGAGTTTCAAATGGCATTGTAGAAGACCCATTTTCCCCGGTACATCAGAGAAGATGTCGTCATGGTTGTACGGGAGTGCCTTCACTTCCGTAAGTTGTCCATCAGGTGTTACATTGTAGCCCTTTTCTGACGCCCAAATCCCGTAAATTTGACTTTGACTGCAGCTTACGTGAAGACTTCGGTGCCCCATCCGGCGATGGCGGTGAATATCCTGGGGCCGATGTCTCGGGCCGGGTTGAGCGGCGCCATGCAGTTGTACGAGAATCCGAAGATGAGAGCCATGATCATGAACCCGAGCGCCAAGGGATGCAGGTGCTTGGGCATGCCGCCGAAGTTCCTCGGGTCCGTGATGGCCTCCGCCGTCAGCATCAGGATGCCCGTGCCCACCAGCTGAGCAAGACCGCGTCGCAAATGTGCATTGGTTTTGGGACAGTGGAAAGTTAGCCGTCTACGCTTCCTCCTTCCACTCCATGGGACGTGCATGGCGCGACTCTGCTAGCGCGAACACACGACAGCGGTGCTTTTTCGCATTTAACTCAGAGATGTAATTGGCGAGCATAATATTTTACCGCGTATAGTGCCAAAAATAAATATTTGCGAACAAAAAAAAATGCGATTAATATTATTATTATTTTGTTAACATCGCCGCGCAGCGTACTTCCGATTCGAAGTATTGCCGGACGCCATGTTGATGAACTTTCGCCCTATATGTCTCCCTGTTCACGGAAGCGAGGCTCTCCAGCTCGCTCGAGTTCTCTTGCGTTGTGATCGACCGCGCCAGCCAGAGCACTAGTCGGGAATATAAAAAAGCATCTGCTGGTACTCCATTTTTATGCGTACCGGCATTTATTCGTACTCAAGACGAGCCCGCGGTCCAGAAGTCGACCCGTCGATGGCCAAAATGACCCCAGTAAATGCCCGGCCGAGAAAACTCCAATAAATAAAAGCCAAAAAGCGGCGTAAGCATGGCTTTATACGACCAAAATACGTCTTCGGTCGTATTTACTGAGTTCTGTCGTCAGTAGAGCTACTCACTATACGTTTGCGTTTGACCGACAAAAACGCCAATAATTAATCGATTGCCAGCAAACAAATGGGGGAACGTGGTAGACGTCGTTCACCAACATGGCGGAGTGCCACGTACCGGAAGTCAAAAGGTGTTTTGTGAAACTGCCTTATGGTTATTAAGATTGCAAATGTCCTTGTTAGGTGACTGCGTCACGGTGCCGCACTTGACGTCCAGAGCCTCTCGAAATTCGGTGGCTTTGTTGGCATTATTTAGGATTCGACGTTTTGGTACACCGATTGGAAGGTATGTATAAGACGGGAAAGCTAACAGATTCAGCCATGTTCCTGTCCGTACGCGAATCTATAATTATTATCCGACGAATTTTGGATCGTTCCCCATATCCCTACTAATTATACACTTAAATCCCCTCTTCATTACTTGCCCACATTGCTCAACAACTTCGTCTTCGACCACAATGACATTAATAGTTTAAGAAAAAAAAAAAACAACAACAGTGAGCACTCATTTTGTTTAGTTAACAGTGTTGTTTTATATTATTATTGTTTTGTATTCTGTTTGTGAAGGGATACCCGGGCTAGTCAAGCTTTCTATTGTGAACTTTTTGTCCGGTGTCTTCGGCACGAATATGCTCTAATAAAGTTGAAGGTTCAACAGTCGAGGCTCATGGGAAATTTCGGGTATACGTGATATAATTTTCTGGCTCCCAGCGTCAGCACGTACCTGGTCGAAGAAGCAGGTTAAAGTCGAGATTTGCTCCCGAGGGTAGGTCGCGAAGATCGGCGCCGTGCCGTGCTTTCCCGTGATTTGCCGGACTCCACCGTCAAAGTGAGCAATCTGGTCTGCAATGCAAGAAAAAACTACATTAAAAAAAAACTGGGGTTATCACATCTTTCAAACAAGTAGAAAAAAAAAGTGTAGTGATCTTATTAGAATCATTCGGAACTCCGAATGTTCTGACCGACTCTGTTATTCTTGGTGGTTTGGGTGGATGCGCCCTTATGTTAGAAATAGGCTTACGTTCTGAGATATTTGCGCAGTTAGTTTCTTTAAAAAAAAAAAAAGTAATTAGGTTACGTTACACATTTTTTTTAAACATCTCATGACGTGAATTTGTGCTGCGATCGCTTACCGACGGATTAAAAGATTGTTTCTTGAATTTGTTGAGTATGCGGAGGGCAAGTTCGTCTGCTCCTTGCGCAGGGGGTAGCGGTGACGTCAGAACGCCGAGCCCTGATTGGCTGATCGCGACCCCCTATCTGAGCGTCGTCTGCTTCTTTGCAACGTCGTCTGCTCGCAACGTCGTCTGCGTCTGTCTTACGTTTCCTGCGACTTTCGGGAGTGCAGAGGCCAGATTCACGAAACGATCTTACGCCAAAAATGTGCATAAGACAAAACTTAAGAACAAATTCGTATTCACGAAACGAAATTTTCGTAAGTTTTGCGCAGGTTACGGCGAAATCCTACGACAGCTCCGAAGCTGTTACGCACTACGATCAAGTCAGCATGGCCGACAGCGTCGCGGTCGCGACGACCCACGGACGTTTATTTTTCTACGTGAGCTTCTCACGCGTCCTGACTTCAAGCAGCAAAAAAAAGAGTAAAAATTATTTGAAACAGAGCACGACGAACAAGAACGCTGGATCCACAGACACCGGGGAAAAGCTCCAACGGCGACGATTCCACCGAACGCGACCTAACGAGCTGGGCAGTTAGGCCTAGCAGGCACTCCGCGACTCGGCGACCGTCTGCCCACGACCGGCTGACGTGCTGAATGGAATATGCCCGCGCGACCCTTGCGAACCCTTCCCGTGTTATACTTTGATCGCTAACCTCAATTTTAAATTAAGAGGTCACTTTCTTCCTCTTGTTATCTCCTTGTTTCCCGAGGCAACGGTGACTCTCGCCGGTGACAAAGCGGCGAATCTCCGACAGACGCAGGAAAGGTAAAGCAGCCATCGCTTTGACTAGCAGACGTACAGCAGACGACGCTAACTGCGCCAACCCGCCGGCGCCGTTAAAGAGTGAGGGGTCTCGCCGCACACGAATGCAGGTAAAAAGTATTTGGGAGGGAACTTGCGGACACTAAGCAAACAAACCTCGGCGCCCCGGGACACCTCGCCAGTGAGTCCTTTGACTTCCCTCCTTGATGCGCGTCTGCTAGTTGTTAGACGAAAACAACGTACCGCTCCAGTTATTTCGTCTGCCCTCCCTTAAAGGCGAAGTCGAGTTCGCTCCGAAAGTCGCAGGAAAGGTAAGACAGACGCAGACGATGTTGCGAGCAGACGACGTTGCAAAGGAGCAGACGACGCTCAATAGGGGGTCGCGATCAGCCAATCAGGACTCGGCGTTCTGACGTCACCGCTACTTCCTTTCTCCTGCGCAGAAGACGAAAATGAGCCCACTTGCGAGGCGTATAGTTCTGATTTATAAACAAAAAAGTACGTAATGACAAAAACACTATACTCCGTGTTCCAGTTCCCCTGCTTTTCTTAAAAATCTTCTAAAAATAAAACTTTCAGCCTTTCTACTCTAGGGAAAAAGGAAGAGCAGCGGAGCTGTATTATGTGCCGCCATTTGTGAGCAACGACGGCAACCAGACAACTGGCTTGCCGGTTGTCTGCTTGCCGCCGTAGTTTGCGGTAGCTGTCCAGAGCGTTGTGCCGAGATTTATTTGTCCGCGGACACGAAACTGGGGAAACTAGCCCTTAACAGCTCCGCTGTAAAAATATTTTCCGAGAAAAAAAGTTTTCAAGTGTTATTGATAACAGGATTTTACTGCATTCTTTTACAGCTTCTAAGCTGTAGCGCAGTGTTGGCATGGCTACAATTAAACTCGCACCAGCGAAATGGAAATGTCTGTAATGAATTTCATCAGTGCAGCCTGTCATAAATTACATTATTTAAATCCTTTTAACTCGGTGAGAAGCATGGTTATAGCACATCCGTAATATTTTCCGTACGCTTTACAAATATATCCTGCTTTTACTGTTGGATCGAGCAATTCGAGACTCAACCCAAACCGATGTAGCAGCAGGCTCTTTAAAAGAGGGAGTGAAGTCAGTTTCGAGTTTTCAGTTGACGACAAATGTTTGCTAATTGTCCATTTCCTTCCCCCTCCCTTCCCCCTCTTTCGAGTCGTTGCAGTTATGCGCATGAGATGAGCTATTCACGCCGTCGAATCTGCCGTTAGGGGTCAACAACCCCGAAACATAGAAATAAAAAGAAATTGCCGTGCCGGCACAATCGAAATGTATAAGAATACGAAAGGGATATGCAGAGGGAGAATAGCTCTGTTCTAGCGTAAAGCTACGATAAAAGCACGTTTATGGTCGCTGTCTTTTTCTCCAGAGAATATTCTAGACCAAAAATGTTGAAGGACAAAGTCGGTACCTATTCGTGTCAAAAAAAAAAAAAAATTCAAGCAATAAAATAAAAGAAGATAAAAAAACACCACAGAGAAGTGCTTGTTTGTAGAGTTTTTTTCTCAACCTGTTTCTCTTACGTTTTATTTTTATTATAAACGTTCTACAATAATCCCTCGACTGTGTGTCGCCAGGGTCGAGTTCATAGGGACTTTTAGCGAACCATAACCGTACTACCATTACCGTACTACCGTTACCGTGGGGCCACTTGCGCATGCCTGACCGCGTACCGTTCAAATCCTGCAAAATTTAGATTTTAGCGTACTGGGGACTCGCACCGTGGTGTCGGAGCTCGACTCCAGCATACCCTGGTGACAAAAGTTGACGGCCAGTAAATAATTGATGAAACTGGTGGCGCAATAAAGTGGAATAAGGCTAAAACTAAGGATGGGCATAAATCGGTTCCTGATACTCGGGGACAGCGTTTCTTGACAATGCAGTCAAAGCTATGGACGTACTGAAGCTTGCGCACCCTGGGCAGCGATCAAATCTATGCGCGAACCCTCTTTATTTCTTCTGATGTGCCGTGAAAAACTGCCCCCCGAGTGGGAAGGACCGGTATCCTGCTCACCACTGAAATGAAATAAAAAAGATCAAGGTACACCTAAGCATTCCTTATGAGTTGTGAATGCGAAAGTATGCAAGCCGCTCGTCCGCTCCCTTTTTTCGTCTGCTGCGTACTTTTCGTCAACGGTCGGCGCGTGTGCTCCCCTGGTGACCTTGGACGCTCCGCGCTGATGGACACGCAGCGCCATGAGGTAAGCGGTCGTGGAAATTGACGAGTGCAGCGGCCAATGGGAGCCCCGTCGACGGGCGCCAGCCAATGGAACCGAAGGAAACTATCTGTCGTTTTTGCGCTTCAGACTGATGACGTCAGCTCGCTCCATGAGACAGTTTATGCCTTCGCATTAAAAAACTCAGTCTTTCCACTCTGGTGAAGAAGGATGACCAGCGAAGCTGTGCTTAGGTGGGAATGAAGTAATGGCCGGCCGCAAGTCGGCAAGCCGGAGTGGAAAGGCTGGAAAGGTTGCCGCCATCTATGAACGACGACGGCAACCAGTCAATCGGAAAGACGGTTGTCTGATTGTTGCCGTCGCTCATAGAGTGAGGTAGCTGTCCGGAGTGTTATGTCGACGTTTATTTGCTGGCGGACACGATCCTGGGGAAACAGCCCTTAACAGCTCCGCTGTAAAATGAAATGAGTATGACTTTTTGCACAAGTGTAATGCCCTATAGTTACACGGGCACAGCCCTAACCTCACTCAAGCTGCCCGTAGTTTAAGGCCATTGACCGTAGTTACACTCAACTCTACCCAACACGAGTACCTTGATACCCGTTGACAAATAAAGGCAAGTGTCGTGTTATGCCATCACTCTAAGTAATGACGCAGACTTATAATAAAGGCACTTTGTCTCGTTTATAGGCGTTTAATACATGCTCTGATAACGCGCCTTATAGGGGGTATTCACTTGACGCCATAATTGAGGGCGATGTTTAGAGCGTATGCTCAGAACGAGCTCGCATTAACAGTCTGCTAAGGCTGGCAACCTTGATGATGCGGAATGCACGTTGCAAAATAACTGTGGAAGCTCGCTGTCCGCACGCGCTCAGCATTCGCGCACACAGATATGGCCGCCAGTGAATATTGCCTCTAGCGCGAGCTTTCTCGTCTAAAGGCTGGTTCACACAGACCCGTTTTCTTACGTTACGTTACGAAAAGTAACCGGGAAATCTTTGCTTCGTATTAAGCGTGGCAACCAATTCAAGGAGATAGCCTGACACGCGACATTTGAGACAGGAATGTTTCGGTAACGACGAGCTATAGGACGGTGAGTTACCGTGGTAACCAAGGGAATAAGGCTCCTTGTAACGTAACGTAAGAAGTTGAGCTCGCGGTTCAACCCACGGTGGTTCAACCTTTCACACACCACCGTTTGGTTACGTTACGTCAAAGTCACCGAAACATTCGTGTCCCGAATGTCGCGTGCCAGGATATTTCCTTGAATAGGCAGTCACGCTTAATACGAAGCACACGTTTCCCGGTGACTTTTCGTAACGTAACGTAAGAAAATGGGTCTATGTGAACCAGCCTTAATACTCGATTCACACGATCAGCATAAACGTGCCTTTAACATAAAACTCTTTGCAATCGGCGAATCAGCCCGCTCTCTTCGGTCGCGAGCAAACGCCACGCGCGGAGGATCGTAAATAGATTTGCCGCGCAGAATAAAGGTCCCTTAGGTAAAGCTACCTTTATAATCGTGTGAATGGGGTATTATAAGCGGAAGGGTACTCACGCAGCTGCACGCAGCCAAAACGCGGCGAAAGACAGCGAGGGCGTGGTGAAGGCACGAGGTCACCAAGGAAACCGCAACGCCATCGGAAGCATTTTTTGTTTGTTTTTTCATAGCTTCCTCTATACTGACAAAACCTGGCAGATCGCCACGAGAAGCGGCCGCCGAAATTGAAAAGGTAGAGCGGCAGACTACGGATGAGAGGAGAGCCCTAAAGGGCCCCTTCATGTGCCAAAAGTAGCGCAAGGTGCGTCGATACACGAGGCACGTGCAACGTGCAGTCCTTGGGAAGATCATGGCGGCACAGCGCAGCACTGAGCTAGATTTCAGACGCCATGAATTTTCCAGAAGTGGCGCGCGGCACGTGCCTCGAGCGTTTCTACAACAATTAATGGCGCCACTTTTCCCAGGATAGAGGGGCTTTAGGAGAGCCATGTGACGGGCTCCCCGCTGCGGCGAGACGCAGAAAAACACTTCTCCCGAGCAATGGTATGTCCGTTCGTGCTCCTCGCGTTCCTCGCGCTACCGCTTCTTTTCTCGTCAGGTTTGAAAACCATGTTTCGGGTCCTCGCCGCTGCAAAAGCTGTGCGCTGACGTCCAGGTTCCCCGAGAAATGTTTTGTGCTACCAGATCCTCGCGCTCCTAATCTGCGACCGGACACTCTATAGCTCCTCCGTCAAAGTCCCAGGCTTTGTGACTATAGAGGAGGCTACATTTTTTAGATTGTTAAAGAAAAAAAAAACCGTTCTGCGACGTGCCGGGATCGTTATAAAGGCAGCCCCCACCACTAGTATGGTTTCTCCAGCAATATTTGCTGCTCCGAGTGTTTCTAGATGGCTCCTCTAGCTTTCTGCAACAGTCTGTACACTCTTAGAAAAAAGGGTACGGATAGTCCTCCCTTACGGGAGGAACAATCTTGTAACCTATGTTCCTTTAGAAAGGGAGAAACCTTCGTCCCTGAAGCAGGGGAGCAAAGTTCCACCGTCGCTTGCATCTCAATATGGCGGCCCCGAATCGAGAAAATCGAGCCCAATAAGGCTTAACGAGGACGCTACGTCTCTTGTACGGGACGAGAGCAGCAGCAAATAAAAGCGTAACACGAGCTTTCCGCAAACTGTGTTTATTTCCGAAGCCAGACTCCCCCCACAGGTACAGACACCTGCGTTTCGAAAGCAGTTACTCAGTCTTCTCGTCGACAGCACTGCGACGTTAAACGGAGACAACCGATACCTAGTTACTTCGCGCACTTTGCGTCTTACCTTTGGTGTTCCTCGAGTCACAATTCCTTCGTCAACCGCACATCACGGAGAAGGGCAAACTCACTCCGCGAAACCAAAAGCCGCTCTCGAAAGAACGAACTCGAAGCCGCTGTTTATCGCGTAGCGTGATAGAAGGTTAAATCGCTAGCCACCAGATGGCGGGGTCAAGCAGAGTAATCGCAAGTAGCTAGGCTAGGTGGCGCTTGGTACCGCCCAATTCATGTTCTACAAAAAATAATTTGCTTCTCTCAGGCCACTACTGTGCTTGAGGACCCTCTACTATACACACATGACTCCCATACACTTATTACAAGCATCAGGTGAACATACATTAAGCACATGCACTGCACACACAAATATCAATACAACGGAACTCTACACTAACCCGAACACTAAACCCGTGCTCTGCGTTTCCGTCTTTTATACTGGTCGTTTTGAACGTGCGGAACTTTTCGGTGACTCCCTAAGCAATAAAAAATATTCCCAGCATGTTGATTTTTTCCCTGCAATGTCATACCTCTGAGAGTATTTTGAATGGCTCAGGGGTTGAATCTCTTATTAAAAAGTAAACGCTCAATCATGCCGTAATTATTTGAAAGCCAATAAATCAAGCCGCTCCAATGCGGTTCGAAGCCATGAGTTTGTTTCCCCACACGGCAAGTCGTAGCTTGTATTTCTATTTGTTTTTCTATTTGTGCTGTTCGCGCGAAGCTGCAATTGCCGTTTGAATTAATCTCTGTAGAGTGGATATTCAGTCAGCTGGAAGTGATGCTTCACGGACTGAGAAATTGCTTTTCGATCAACTTGAATGCAGTCAAAGCCGCGACTTGGGGCAGGTGTTAAGTGTACGGAACTACGCCGTGGCGAGCCCGAAAACTTCTAGCGCTCATCCCAGCGCGCCACGGAGGGCAGTTTCTCCAGCAACCGTAGTATAATTAAACAGCAAAATAAAGGGTATCTTTTTTTTCGATTTTACCTACTATTGTTTTTAATGCCGAAATTCCATACTGTAAATATACGCACTTTACGTCACGCTTTCGTACTGTTCAGTCCTTGCCCCTGAGCGCAATCGCTGTCGGGGACGAGACAATTCCGACAGTCACATTGGCCACTGTACGGTAGGAGCTTCTACTGTTCAGACCAGCGTTCCAACATGACTATCCGCACGTTGATCGATTGCACGTAATCCCTCAAGTGGTATTAAACTTTTTAATGTAAAGCGGAATGTCAACCTGCGACACCCCGCCCCCTCCGATCACAACCCGACCAGCGGCATCAATGCCCAACAGTTTACGATCTCATCTTCTTGTTACACCACTGATACGCGAACACATGGTCACATCGGCGATAATTCCAGTCTTCTGTTCACAACCCAACACTGTCATCACGATGTTGCAGCTATGTTGCTGACACGCACAAACACAAAACCACGTTGAACGCCGGTTGGACTCGGCATCGGAAAACAGAACCGAACTCAGGGGGGAAGGCACCCAGGCAGCCGGCAGCAAAGCCTGGCTGTCTTGGACGCAGTTCCTGCAGTTTCCATAACGTCGACACAGTTCCGCGTGCTTTCGCTACTGTAGTCTGTAGTGCTGCAGCCTGCATTGGCTGTAGTTCCGTCGTTCCGTGCCGCGCGAGTCACGCAATCCGGAGACGGCCATCCCCCAGCAGTGTACGTGGCGCTGCTGGCACTGCTCCGAACTTCGCTGTTTCTAGCGGCTTCGTTTGCTCGTTTGATAAAATTAGTGATAAAAACGTCAATGCAACCGAAATGTTCTGGACGTTTAAACTAGAAGATGGAATTACAGGCGGCCTTCGCTGCTGCTGGAGCTCAATCAACTCAACAGCTATTTATTAAACAACGCGCGCGACCTGCTCGAAAAACGAAACCGAAAGACGATGAGTCGGGAGGGCGAAAGCTTTCTCCCGTCTGCCTGGAGAAGGAGAAAAACATTTCGTTCCTCCCCTTTTCTCGTGTCCGCTTGGGGGCGCGTCGGTAGAAGGGAGGAAGGCGCGCCGTTGCTACTTTTTTCCTCCATTTTTTCTTAGAGTGTAGTCAACGCTTGCAGTGGCGGAGCGTGGATGTCGCCATGTTGAACACAGAGCCGCGGTGTCGCGGTAAGTCAACCACGGTAATCCGTTTCAGGCACGTGCGGCCGCTACGAGTAGCGCGTGCGCAGTCGGGCCCACCGTATCGGTAGTACGGACGGTAGCGGTTAACTAAAAGTCTCTATTGTTTTAGAATTACTTCATGAAAAATCAAGGCGAGAACGAAGCCATAAAGAATTGCGGAAGCAAACACTTGATCTAAGCATTCATATCCTTGGCCAATCCCACTTTGTGTATAAACACCAAAAGACGTTCGGAAACAACAACATTTATTTAATTATTTATTTATTTATAACTTGACAACGTTACTAAAACACTCAGTTGGGAAACTCGCCGTCGAAACCTGGGCCGCTGGCGTCCACCGAGACCGAGCTAAATGCGACAACAGGGCCACTCTTTATCCATTGTCTGTACTGTGGACACCTTGAGGTTTTTGAAAGCATGTTTTTTGGGGTAAAAACAAACGGAAAAGACTCTTTTTGTATGAAATTTATTGGAGTTTGGTACCAAATGATGGGCGCGTGATGTTTTTAAAAGTTTTAGGTTGCAGGGTTTCGCGGCACAATCAATATTGTTTTTATACAACCATGCCTCAGCGGGCCTTTCATGTAGCACGTCCCGCCCTAGGTGCATTTTAACTCCAATTGCTGAGCGCGGCGCGACCGCCGGGGATACGGGGGTGGCACCCCTCGATACCTCCGTCCCTGGATCTTTGTAGCGTACATGTTCCTATTGTATACCGGTGTGATTTACGTCTTGCAGTTTACAGTGTCAATAAACTTTCCTTTAAACCCTGTAACCTTCACCGCTATATCTGTTCTTAGAGCCAAAATAGAAGTCACGTGCAGTTCCTCGAGTTGCCTGCTGCGGAGAAATGGTGGCGTTGTGTTCGTCATTAGCTCGGTGCTCGGAGACAGATTGGGGCCACTTTTTCGAAGCTTTCTCTATGGGAGTTTCCCAACTGAGTGTTCTAGTAACGTTGTAACTTGACTTTCCGACCGCTTTTATAGCGGTCAAGGAAATTAAAACCACTCAGTGTGGCTAACAAATCATGACAAGCATGTAATTCACAAAAAAACTACAAAAAAAAAAAAAGGTTAGTCAAACTGGCACCGCACTCGCAGTACAAACAATGTAAAAAAACACATTTGTGTGCTGTTTAGAACGAGAAGATTAAAATGATATATTATTAAAGGAATGACTAGGGTTAATCGTAAAAGTGTGTCGAATATGAATGGCGCAGATGCAATTTCTTCTAACACGTGTCCTCGGTAAAAAGTCCATGTACGCCTGAAGTAAACGCGTCGAGGGGGCTTGCGTTTACAAGCTCTTCGGGAAGTTTGTTCCAGTCGGTAACAGTGCGTGGAAGTAGCTCTACTTAAAAACGTTCTTGTGGCAGAAAAAACTCGCACATTGCTTTATTGTGTTTGTTTCCAGTTAGTTTTTCGGCCGAAACAACACACTCTTCTACCCTTTTCCTTCAATCCTCCTTGCTATGTTAAAAATGCTTACGATGGGTCAGCTGAACACACACACACACGCACACGCACACGCGCGCACACACACACGCACACACTTTTCTGTGGTGTAATCTTTGTTCAGCTGGCCCATCGTGAGCAATGAACCAAAATAGCTCAGCTTAAGTTAAGAATGCGTTAGTCGCAAAATAAGGTAGCCTTTTCTAGACAAGGTGATCTCACCGTGGTAGAGCAGGTAGACGAGAGCGGCACCGACGAAGGCTCCCAAGTACTGCACCGCGAAGTACAGCGGCACCTTGTTGATCGGGAATTTCTTGGTCGAGGCCAGCGCCAGCGTCACTGCGGGGTTCAGGTGGGCTGCGTCCCGGAAGAAGCCAGAACAGTGTCAAGCTCAGGTTAACACCTCCCTATGTGCCCCTCGAGAGTACAAGAAAAATAAAAATCCCGGTCCTTTGCCGTACCCTGCATAAAAACAAACTGCTACACATCGCTAGACACAGTAGGAAGGTTTCGTAGTCCGTTTTTTTCCCCCTCCGCTACACTCTCCGCATCGCAAACGCCGGTACTGCGCCTGCGCGCCGTTAGCCTTCTCTACAGAGTTCCAAATCTCTGTAACAGCGGATTGCGCAGAGCATTTCTGGACAGCGTAAACGATGTCCGGAAACTCCCTAGTTGCACTGCCAAGGTTAAATTTAGCGTACTTTTGTGGCCCCACTAAAGTGAGCGGAGGGTGTTCATGTGACGCTGTGACATCATGTAACACTAAATTTCCGCCAAGTTTAGCGGATAAAATTTCCCGCTAAATATTGCGAAATATCTTCGCTACATTTATCGGCAAGCTTGTGACGTCACGCGACGTGATGTAACGTGACACTCCCCGAAGTTAAAATGTCGACACCGTGTTTCCCCGCCTGCATTTAGCGGGCTACACGACGTGTGCATGCACGAAACACACACGTGGTCCGCTCCAACGGCTATTGCCGCGAAACGCCGTCCTGGCTTGAAGGGATTGAGATTTATTTTCCTCACTCGGGTGAAATGGGATCACATTAATGAACGCTCCACGTTCGGAAAAAGCGTGGGACTTACGCAACAACACGTAGATACTGAGGCCTGTGCAGTGAATTGTTTGCGTCATCGCGGGGAAGGGCGGGACTCAGTCAATGAAAACATCCATGGAAAAATTCTGCGAACGGGACGGTTATTTTTATTATTTATATTTGGACGCAAGATGAATCGCTGTCAGTCGACGAGGTTGGAGGAATGGACTGCAGCAATTGGCGCAGTCACTAAACCTTGCCCCGACTGTCACAGTTCCGGCGAGGTTAATAACTGCCCTAGCCGACTATGATGCCGTGGAAACAATTGCGAATAACCTTCGCCGGAACAAATAAAAGGTGCTTTATCTTTGACTGATGCCCCGCGGATTCCCAATGCTAAAAGCCGACGTCCTTGCAGTTGTCCCCGGACGAGTTGAGACCAGCGCCGGCCTACGGGTCCCCACAGTTGGCCGGTTCGAATCGCGGGCGAAGTGCCCGCAATCTGACAGAGGCTTAAAGGCCGACGACCGGACTCGAGATTCTGCAAGGCAGAAGATCCTCCTCACCATGGGGAGGAGGAAATAGGCAACGGTGGACAGGGTAGAAGGGGGAGAGGAGAAAGCGAGGGAGAAGTGGAAAGCGCGAACTGGTCGAAGGTCTTTAATGTTGGTTAATACTAGCGACTGCTTACGACTGCTTACGACCTTTTACGATCTTTTAAAACGAAAGAATGCACTGGCGCCATCTATCGGGGAGCCGTGGAACACGGCTTTTGCGTATACATTTCAGTATATTTTCTTTCTCGTTTTTCCCTCCACATAATTTTCTTTTTTTGGTTTGAAAAAGCTTTTAATTGACAATGCTATCAACTACAATTTCTCATAGATAGTACGTAATTTTATCACGCAAATACCGCAAAACCTTTATCTACAGTGAAATGCAGTTCCAGAGTCGCCTCATAGATGGCGCCAGCGTGCCAAGTGTGTTCTCTCGTCGAAGGAGGTCGCAAAGACCTCCGTCGTAAGCAAACTCAAGTGTGTGAACGGGCCTTTATAGACCAACACGCTGTTTGCAAACAAGCACGCGTGCGGCCCCACCAGGTGTGGGCACTGCGCGTGCGCAGAAACCATTAGCGCGTGACAGGAAGCGTTTGCGCACGCGCAGTACCGACAGCAGCGCCACCGCCGCGGCGTGACGTCAGAGAGTCGACTCGGTGCATAGACGTCGCTAGATACGGCCTCTGGTAGCCGCCATCCTGCAACTGGTGTGGGTAGATCGTCTGATGGTCAAGCATCACTGAGGCCCCGGGTACGCCTCAGCAATGCATGACTATCAGACGATCTACCCATACCAGCAACATGGCGGCGCTGGTATGGGTAATACCAGCAACATGGCGGCGCCCATGGGCTGTACTTGCCAACGCCTATACGGAGAAAAATAAGGGAGAAACTGAAATATAAGAGTGCCGAGCTCTGATAGGAAGGATAGCTGTTTTTTGTCTCTACTCTGTTCTTTTTTGCAATCAGTGCGAATGAGAGAGTTTTCGGCATCTCGCGCAGCGTCTTGCGTTGGAACGACGGGCGCCGGCGTTCGAAGGAGTTCAAACGGTAAGCAGAGACAAAGGCTTCTAGCTCTTTACGTATGTCCGCTATCCCTCCAGTCTAAGCTCTGTGTGTACTTTAACGTCGCCAGGCGCTCTCGTCTCGTCCTTTCGCCCAGTATTTCTGCGTAATGCGGGGAAGGTGCTGTGTAACCGAGATTTCGGTGTTTCGGAGTTTTTGGAGAGTCGCGGAAGTCTGGTATTGAGCATGAGCGTCGTCTGCAAGTTTCTCATAAACTGCACTTCTGGATATGACACTTTCATTGATATGTCGAAATACGGCTGCAAATCTCTTTTTTTTTTTTTCATTTTCTTAGCTTACAATTCTAATTGGCAATAACTGTCCCGATAGGAAGGCTTTGTTTGAATGGAGTGTTATCAAGTCTTGCACCTCTTGGCGGTTGGATGCTTTGTGTCGACCGGTGTCGCGTCGGTGTGTTTGGTCAACACGGGTGATAAACTCGGAAAGGGGAGACGCGTGTCACGACAGTGTCGCGTCGAAAGATAACGGAGTAGGACTAATTAGGTGACAATGAGGTCGCCAGTTCCAGACATAAATTGTACTCCTATAGCGGCAGTGGCGGCCCGGACCAATTTGTCTCCTGTATAGTGTTTCGGCCGTCTCGGGCATGTACTACACTCACGTATCACAAAGACCGTTAAGTGGCGTTACGGATGACTGCGTGTCGGCGTCGATGGAGCGATGGTTTCGCATTGCTGCGCGCGCAGTTTCGTAGCCGCCAAGCAAGCTCGAGTGAAAGGTGCGGCTACACTTCATTCCAGGAACTTTGTGCGCGTTAGGATGTGCTGTGTTTTGTTACGGGCGAAAGGAAAGTCGCGTGGCTTCGTGCAGAGCGGCGAAGCTGGCGGGAGGCGGAGGCATCGACATCACGGGGCGCTCTTCGCGTGCTTGGTTTCGGTTTGAAGCCGCGTAAAAGATCGTTAAATTTTAGCGGAAACGTTTACCCGCTACGTTTAGCAGAAAAACTGTGCCGCAGTGTGGCATGACGTCAATGTGAAACCACGCCGTGATACTTGCTGAACGTAGCCGAGAAGTCTTCCCGCTAAGTTCAGCGGGTCACGACGTACACGAAACCCACACGGGATCCGCTGCGAGATCTCGCCAATAGAGAGTTTTAGTATAGATTGTTCTCATAGCTCCGATAACGGTATCCGATAACAATACGACGCACGCGCAAAGCCGTCCGTAGAGTGTCGGGTATCGTTATCGGAATCATCGGAACGATATACTATAAAACTCCCTGATAAAGTTTGTCGCCGTGAAACACTCCGTGTAGCGCGTGGACACTTACAGCTTACACCTCCCGCGATGGTAACCGCAACGAAGATGGCCGTTCCCCATCCGACGGGCCCCACGATGGGCGCCAGTGGCTCGTTGTCCCCGGCGATGATGATGGCCAGGATGGAGTCGCCGATGAGCTGCGACAACCGAGAAACATGGGTACTTTAGAAGCGAAACTTGTTTTCTGGGCACTTTCTTTCCCCTTAACCAAACGGCGTATAAATGGGAGTGGCTCTAACCTTGAACGTCTAAAAACACACACAACAACTATATATATATATATTAAAAGGAGAAAGACTTAGAAGGCAGCGCTTATTTTCGTATCGCAAGGCGCACACGTTCGCTAGCTCTCAACGAAACGATTGCGTAACAGTTTTGATGCGAGTTGCACGAGTATACGAACTGGAGTCGTTCTGTACGACATCGCGCGAGTCACGCACCTGGACGCGCGATAAAAGAATTTACACCCTTCAGGGTGTAAATTAGCTCGTCCCGGGCCAACATAATTCAGGTGTTGGCGAAAGTTAGCGGCACCCTAGAGATCATCACTGTTTTACGAGCAAAAAGTCTACAAACAACACGCACCGGATACAGTCGTACATGTGCGCACAAACCATAAATACGGAGACAGTTAATCACCCCAGACCGAAATCACAACCCTGTTGTCCCTCCAGAGCTTAATATATACTCGACAGTTGAAATATACTGTTTCGAAGGTGGTCGTCTCCACAAATATACCCTATTTCGAAAGTCCACCGGGTAGCATTGGCTCGGACACGAAGCACGTGATTGGATCCGAGTCTTCGCCGAAGGATGATGTCACACTCGTATCCAATATGTGCTCAGAGTGCGTGATCTAGCAATGGTGGGCAGCCGTTGCCGCGGACGTTTGAAAAAGGGTCTATAGCGATGGTGATAGGAGTGTTGCTTCGTGCTTGTTTACATTTCTCGTATATAAAACATAATATCTCGAAGTTTCAGGATCCCATCTCAAAGTAACAAAGTATCAGTGAAAAGACGGTGAGAGTGCACGCGAGCTGGTGGTAGCTAATCATGTCGTATTACACCTGAGACTGCGGTGGAAGAAATCGGAAGAACTTTCAGTAGAAGGTCCTTCTACTGAAAGTTCTTCCGATTTCTTCCACCGCAGTCTCAGAAAGTATCAGTGTAGGGAACAATAATTATTCGCTGTAGTCGCTATTGGATAATTGGTTCTGAAATGCTGAAGCCACCAATCGAACGTGATGCGCATGGCGAATGTTTACTCAAGTTTTTTGCGCGGTTCTTATCACCGTTCTGCTCAAAACATGAAGAGTCAGTTTGCGCGCAATGCTCACCCAAGATGCAGATATATATCCAGCGATTTCTTACTCTATTCCTCACAAAAATTAACAACGCGCAGTTCGAAAAACCTAATCTCTAATGAGTAGTCTCCGGAAACGCGTTAAGTTGCCCGTTACGACTTACCTCTTTCCTTTAAAATAATATATATATATATATATATATATATATATATATATATATATATATATATATATATATATATATTAAACAAAAAAGAAAGAAACGGAAGTTGGTAGCACTCTCCATTTTGTTAACCCGCTATGCTTCACCATCCATGGGCTTACTTTGACTTCTAAACGGTTACGTTGTTGAGGCCTTACAGTCTCAAGACATAATAGTCACGTCAACAAATAAGTACACTATATAGTTAGTTTTTTTTTTTATTTTAATTTCACGCAGATCCTTGGCTAATCATCTGCTTGGGTATGCGCCAAAAACTTAAGGACATCAACAAACAGCGTTCGAAAACTCGCGCGTACCGAGGCAACTGACTGAACTGCCGAAAATAGAGCCCGCGGCCTTGTTTAGGTTGGGATGACTCAATATACTTCGACAGCGACGCAGTTTGCAAACAGTTCTCCGCTGAAACACGTTGCGACTTTCCGAAGTCCTGTACACAGAATACGGGAGAAAAGGCGCAGCTGGTATTTGTAGAGTGTTCGTTATCGTAGCACTTCCGTATGCGGGGAAAAAAAACAATTAAAATTAACTAACTTTTTAAACAACATGTAACGTCGGCGATGTTTTACTGACGAAAGCTGACGCCGTGTAGCGTTATACCATCCGGTGCATAGGATAACGCTGACGGCATATGCCCACAAAAAAAAAAAAAAAAAAAAAAGTTCCGACAGATTCAACGGCTATACTGTACAATCCGACGGAATTTTTGTTCGTTTAAAAACGGTTTTCTGTTGATTTGCGCAGATTTCTGGGTAAATCGTTCGAAACAGCGATCTTGGGATGTTCTCAGATCAAGTTATGTCAGGCACGCGAAAAAAAAATATACTCTACTCATTTGAAAATAATAATAAAAAAAAAGTGCATTTCTTGCTTCTTCATTGGTTGCTCGTCGTTCTTATAGGCCAGTGCCACAATCTGATTGGCTGCTCAGCGATCATGAGACGCTCGGCATTAACCACACCTTTCTTTTTTTAATCTGTCAGTGACTATAGTTGCGATCGAATAATAACAGTATTGTCCGACCCGTAATTCAAACCCATGTGTGGAATTAACCGTAATCTCGTTGAGCTGAGGCAATAGAGAGTTTTAGGGAACCGTCTTTGCACATCCGATAACGTACGATGGGCACTCCGGTGCGAACGGCGCATGCGCTGCTGCAGAAAGCTCGCACATGCGCAGTGCGTACCGGAGGGCTCATCGCGCCGTATCGGATGTGCAAAAACTGTTCCCTAAAACTCTCTAAAATGTACTCTTAAATTGTTTTGAAAAATGGACCGTGCTCAGGCCGGTTATAATAGAGAGTTTTAGTAGATCGTTCCGATACCTCCGATAGCCCCGATAACGATACTATGCATGCGCAAGGGAGGCGGTGGCGGGGTATCGGGATATCGTTATCGGAGTCATGGGAAAGATCTACTAAAACTCTCTAATAGAGAGTTTTAGTAGATCGTTCCCATGACTCCGATAACGATACCCGATACTCCGCCACCGCCTCCCTTGTGCATGCATAGTATCGTTATCGGGGCTATCGGAGGTATCGGAACGATTTACTAAAACTCTCTAATGACTGAGGCCTATATTTATGGTTGGTGACAGTTTTTAAGAATTCGGTAGACGATCTGCCACCGGCACGAGCGTTCAGCCTTTGATAACACTTCGTTGCATGAGCGGCCAAAGCACGGTGGAAGGCAGCGCGGGTACGTGCATACTGGAGGCGGAGCATCTACCTGGGTTCTTATAGCTTGTCATCGACTATAGAGGCGCATACTGTATACAATGGCTTGAGGTATCAATAACGGGCCTGGTTGTCGAATTAGAAGGCTTCATACATCACAAATCGAACCGAGACAGGCAGTTATTGTGAGGGAAGTGTGGTCGGAATCAAACGGTAGGATTTAATCGCCAAAAACCGATACCAAACAAGATGAACGAGGATGGTGTTAAGGAATGGTTGTCAATTCCGGGAAACTAGTAGATTATTTGTTTAATGTAAGACACTGGCACCACCAAAAGCCTACAAAAAGACCACTTTTTTTTTTTTTTTATTCTGAGTACGTTACTTTGACACGATCTCGAAGTGTTCTCATATGAGTCGTATTTCTTGCAATTCTTCCGAGTCAGCGGAGAATTTTCGCTCACAACGTCGTCGAAAGGATGACAAGCCAATAACAACGGTACCGACAAAAACGCGTCGTTGTCGCAACTGTAGATATCAGGCGCTATAACGAAAGTGAACCCGTACATTTAGCTCGGAGATATGGCAGACTCTAACCGACACGCGGTCGTCGTAATATTGTTTTTAGTTAACTTTGTTGTTTTTGCGGAGTTCCAAAACGAAAAGGTAAAAGAGCATATTTCTTTCGTGGTGATCTGTCTTCAAGATTTTCCTCTGTTCAGTGAGCGATTGGACGTTTCTCGAGTAAAAGGCATTGGTTAAGCCACAGGCCTCGGTCCATTGTGTGTTTGCTTCAAAATCTCCCGAAGAACGGCCGTAGGAAGCCATGAGACGAAACAATTGCCATAATGGTTTTTATTAGTATACCCGAGAAACACTTTCGCTCACGCTCAACTTAACTGCTTGTGCGTCATCATATGACAGGTTTCTGCACGATGTGCGGTAGAAAACACCTGACTGATGAGTCTTACCTATTGCGGAATTGTTAACGATATAGCGAGGTACCGTATACTAGGGAGTTGTAGTAGATCGTTTTTTCTCCTCCGCTACGCTATCCCCGAAGAAAACGCCGCAGCTGCGCAAGCGCGCCGCCAGCCTTGTCTGCATAGTTCAAGGTCTCGTGGCGGATTACGGAGCGCTATCCGGGTGCTTAGCGGGCTGCGGGAACGGTCTACTACAATTCCTTAATATAAATTTGATCTCGGCCGTTAAAATTCTTGAGCAAAATGCCGAACAGCGCATACCCTCAATCGGGCTATTCTAACGCTTATAAAAAGCAATATACTAATTACGCTGCATTAACTTCCCTTCTGCCAAAATTTGGGAAATATGGTGGTTACGCGGCTTCGTATTCCCGGGGCGCGCCTATCAAAACCATAGAGCGAAGCCGCTTATTTGGTTTAGTTTTGCGTTGACGCGATGTCGTACACCTGCGCGCCATGCAGAAAGAAAGCTTCGAAAGGAACGCGAATATCTTCCCACCGGTAAGTACGTGGATTGGTCCTTAGGAAGACCGTGAAACCTAGCGAATAAAACGTAAAGTTAGTTGGTAACCATGTGCGGGACTCCAAAAGTCTGCCTCCATGCTCCGCCGCTTAATTACGGCAGCCAGAATGCATGGGAAAATGGCGGACCTTTTCCTCTAGAGTTAGTAACTCTATAAATGTTAAACACATAAAACTGTCGTCACCATTTAGTAAACAAACATATCGTTAACACTGAAAAAATAACGAGTGTATAGCTTCATTCAATAACAAAACCAAGAATTCATTCCACGAAGTCAAGCTTATTTCTAAACCGACAACTTTGCATTAATAAAGAAAGAGAAATATATATACGCCAACTAAAAGTTTTGCAGCTGGCACACCCCGACGGTGTTCCGAATACTTCCTTCTGCCAGCAATGACCTATTTTCAACGGTTACTTTGTGAAGGGCGA